CACACAAAACAAAAGATGGTAATTTACTATTAGGTGACCCCCCCAAATTATCTTTTTATTACCAATATATCTATTTTAGGGATGATACTACTTTCTAGAAAGGGGCAGTATGACGCAGTGGTTGAGTCCTTGGACTAGATCTGCCCCTAAATAGGTGGGGATTCTGGGTAAGGAACTTTACCTCTTCCTTCCTCAGTTTCTCTTGGAGATGATACAGGGATAGTGCTCACTGTGATGGTGGCTTATAACAATTATGTGAGAAGAATGTTTGCAGAGCACTTACCACAGTGTCTGGCAAAGGTATGAAATAATTATTACAAGCATTTCAAATCTGAGCACAGGAAAATTTTGAGCTGAGAAAGACCTAATTTCTGCCAATTCCACTGTCATAATTTCAAGTTCAAGTTTGCCTCAATATATAGCATTATTTAATAATTTACTTGTTAGAAGTAGGTAAAATACATGGGTAAACCCCATTCTCAGATTTTGTTAATTTAAATGGCCAGCGAAGCCTTTGGTCCAATCCTATCTTCCCTGCCAGTTTGCCTCGAAAAGGAAAGAAGAATAGCATACTTCATTTGTGCGAGAATCCTGTAAATGTGCATGGGGCTTTGGTCTGCTGAGGTCCCGCTTATCCAGAGGGCGAGGCAGTAAAGACACATCACAGCAAGGCGTCATGCAGTGGCCCCTGGCCACGATAGCAGGCATGTAGGCGCTCAGACGTGAATGGCTTTCCTCAGTTGAGCAAGTCAACCTCACTTTTGTGCCAGAATCCATCTGGTTGTAAAATGAGGCTAAAAACCAGCATTGCATCTGAATTCTTAAAACAAAAGGTTGACAGGTCTTATGATGAAAGGCTTTTCCTCTACATGTATTTGTTATTTGTGGATAAGGTCATATTTTCACCGTTTTCTCCTGGCAGGGCAGGTACTGAAGCAACGTACTAATTTTAAGTGGTTGTGGAACTGGTGGTCCCTTTCAGATGTGATGGGAAAATGGAGCTGCTATTTCTTCATAAGGTCACTGTCCTGTATTATTCCCGGAGGTTGTAATTGTAATTAGAACGCATCTTTCATTTTGTTTGTAAAAGGAAAGGTGAAATGGTCAAGCAGATCTCCCTGATATGCAAAGCCCGGTTTGGAGACAACTTGGCAGAGCATCAGTGTCCTCTAGTAACTTATTCTAGTCACGGAAAGGCTTCACCGTTTCTGTGACGATGGGTTTATGAGAACTCAGTTGGGATTTTGAGGATGTCCTTTTTTCTTGGGTTCCACCTTTAAAGGTTAAGGCAATAAGGTCAAGGTCAGTTTTCATGTGGGGAATTGGAATTTCAAATATGTGGGGGAAATATTTCATAATGCTAGGGTATAGGCTGGCATAACTGGGTAGTTTAGAACTGGACAGTGATTTATTCTAGGATTATTTTATGAAAATGTACAGATGGCTTAAATCTCCTGGGACAGGTATATGAGCTAGCACATGTTTAATAAGAAGGTAATGATAAAGATGTAATTTCCAGTCTCAGCTCTGTCCTCGCCCCATCTAAGGCTGGTCACACACTTCCTCTTGCTCTCTGTTTCCTGATCAGTGATGACAATATTATACCTTAAGCATCTCACAGAAATGCCAAGGGGATAAATAAGATGACATTTATGAAATAACTTAGCTCTTTAGAACAAAGTACTAAGTAGAAGCTTTAAACATTATATTCAGGAAGTTGTTTGCAAATGACCATGGACCTCTTCAAACCTTGCTTTAAAACTCACCCCTTCCAAAAAAGCTTTTCCTGGTTAACCTCATCCATTCCAGTCCTTTTTTTAATTAAAAAAAAAATTTTTTTTTTAAATTTTAGAGGGAGAGAGAGAGCGCCTGAGCTGGAGAGAGGGGTAGAGGGACAGAGAGAGAATCTTAAGCAGGCTCCACACTCAGCACGGAGCCTGCCAGTCACTTCTTTATACTTTTAGCACCATGGCATGACATCCACATTGTACATTTCACTTTTTGATCTGTTATGTTATAACATCATCTGCCCAGCTGCCCACACTAGAAACCTGGCAATATCCTGGCTCCTCTCCCATCCCTACACCATTTCTAGCTGGTGACCCAGTCTGAGCAGTTGCGTCTCGAGGTCCTTGGACTCTTGGCACTTCCATGGCACTGCCATAGCCTCCTCTCCTTGTTCCCTTTAACCTGGTTGTCTGCATTGCCCGCTAATGGGTCTTTCTCACTTTAGCCTGGTCTCTTTCCGGTTGACCCTCCCCTGTGCTTTTTAGAGATAGTTTATTTATTTACTTAAAAAATTTTTTTTATATTTTATTTTTAGGTAATCTCTACACACAACATGAGGCTTGGACTCACAACTCCAAGATCAAGAGTCTCATGCTCTAACTGAGCCAGCCAGGTGCCCCTGAGAGATCTTTTAAAAATATAAATCTGATCCTATCTACTCCCAGCTTAAAACTTTTAAAACTCCTTAGTTTAGCACCTAACATCGTTCTTTTTCTGGTCACCAGCCACTATTACAGCCTAACTCTCACCACACTCGTCCCCCTGCTTCGTGCTAAGTCCCAGAGGCAGTGATGCTTAAAGTGAGTTGTGCAGTCCCATAGAAATTAGCCTAAAGAAGAGCTCCCTGTGTCTTCCTGGCTTCATACTTCATACATCTTTTGCAGATGCCAGCTATGCCTTTTGCCTTTCATGTCTTCTCCCTGCCTAATAATTCCTAATGGTTTTAAATTTTTAGTTGAAGCATCACTTCTACCACTTCTATCACTTAAGATCCTCTCTGACCCCTCTATGCATCTGCTTTCAATGTGCAGCCAGTGTGCTTCCATTGAATGATGTGCTTGATGTTGTTAAAAAAAAAAAAAAAAAGGCGTAATTCTGTACTAAAACCATTCACTGATCTTGTCTATTTCTTCCAATCAGCGATGGGTTCCTTGCAAGCCAGGGACTGTACTTTTTGATTTTGTATTCTGACCTAGCAGAGAGCCAGGTCCTCAGTAAACGTCTGCTGAATGCATGGTGTAAATGTATTGAAATTATGACTGTAGGCATGATCAAGGATCAATAGGCTGTCAAAAGCTGCAGTGACTTTAGGCCTCGTGAAAACCTACGGCTTGAGAAGGCTATACAACTGTGGACAAAACGAAACCACTGTATTTGGTCTCCAGTATCATTTATACCTTGCAAATGTTTACAGAAGATATTTTTTAGTTTTCCATATTAACAAGTCCTTTCTTTGTTAGTTGCAAGTTATTTTCTTGGTTGAGACTAAATTTGACAAGTCTCTCTCAAAAAACATTCTTCCCTCTTCTTTCACCACCTACAAGCCATACGATGGTTTAAACAAAGAGTACTAAGTGCCATGGAGTCGAGGACATCAAAGAGAGCAAATTAAAATATGTGATTTGTTTACCATCACATGGATTTGGGAGTGCCCACGGCCACAGAATCCCAGGGCTAGAAGGGTGCCTGGTTGTTGTTGTAGAGAGGATCTTACTGCCCCACTTTCTGTAGCTGCTTCTAACAACAGGAATGACTAGACCATGACCCATCACAGGAAGAAAGGAAAGTGCTCGTATATGAGAAACCTTTCACTCAACCAGCTGCTGCTGCTGCTGCTGCTTTTTTTTTTTTTTTTTTAACTCAACCAGCTTCTATGGCAAAACCAGGGAGATAAAGATTTCCATTCAGCAAAAGCACCGATATAGCTGTAGTGGTGCAGGCAGGACACTGTCAGGAGTCCAGAAAGTGTATCTTTTGAAGTGTTTACCCCCTCAAAACCATTTCCAGTCACTCCCAAACACTGGTTTCAGGAATGGCCTGGGGTATGCACAGCATAATTAGGGACAGGCCAGTGGGCTAGCTGAGCCTAGGCTAGCACTCCCAGAGCAACTGGCTATGGGTTGTAAGGAGCTATATTCACAAGGTCTCTTAGCTGCTGCCTCCAAAGAAAGGTACAAACGGTGCCGTAAGTAAGAGCTTCGTTCTGGGATCAGAGAGGCCTGCATTCAAAGCCTCATCTCTCTGCTTGCTAGCCAGGTAACCCTTGGGTAAGTTAGTTAACCTTTTCAGAGCCCCAGTTTCCTCATTTGTAAAATAGGGGGAAGAAGCATTTATGTCTCAGTACTGTGTGCCTGGAACACAATATGTGGTCCATTAATATAAGTTATCATTACTGCTTATCTATGGTAATCCAAAGTAACACAAACTTGTTGTGATTCCAGTTCATATGCCCCCTGGGTCAAGTAATTATGCCACACTCTAAAATTAACATATAGCGAAAGCCTGATTGAATAAGTGTTGGTCAAATGCCCTTCTGCCCTATTTAGAGCTGATACTTTGGGTTTCCATATTGCCTACAGTTCTACTCTCAGTGTTGTTTTACTCTCAGTGTTATAAAACAGAAACAAGAAGATGAGATGCTCGAGGCCCAACAGCATCAACTATCACTTTGGCATCCTCCCCGCCGCCCCCCAATGCTTTGCTGTGAGTTTCCCTGAGGGTTTGGGTAGTCTCACACAGGACTCTTCAGCTGAACAAGAGAGTAAGATTGCAAGACTGGATTACATAGGTGGCTGGCAGCCTTTCTTTTTGTTTCTTTCTTTTTTTCTTTTTATTTTTTTTAATGTTTAGTTTTGAGAGAGAGGGAAAGGGAGAGAAAGAGTGGGGGAGGGGCAGAGAGAGAGGGGGACAGAAGACTGGAAGTGGGCTCTGTGCTGACAGCAAGTGAGTTGATGTGGGGCTCAAACTCACGAACTGTGAGATCATGCCCTGACCTGAAGTTGGAATGTTTAACCGACTGAGCCACCCAGGCACCCCTGGCAGCCTTTCAAGTAAATTCTATTTTTTAAAGCCCGTATACTTTACTCATAATTGAGTTATCTGCTGGTTGGGGATGGGGGGGGAGGGGGAGGTGTATGAAATCACAGAGTTCCAAGAGAGAAAAATAGTAAATTAGATTGAAATTTATCCAAAAGACTTAATATGTGATTTACCTGTGGGCCAGTTCCTGGTTTCAAGTGAAAACCAAAAACAAGTTCAAGGTTCACGATTTTTTCCTCATTTTCTTTAGGTTCATCTACTGAGTCCTAAAACAGAAAACCAAGCACTATTTACTCTCAATAGTATGTAGTGTCTTTTTTTTTTTTTTATTTCATATAGAAGAGATGATTTCTCAGTACTAGTGTTTCCATGCTAACCTATTGTTTAATGTTTGATAATTTGGATCAAGCTACAAATGATAATTCTTTAAAGCAAGAGAAATGACATCTTAAGCCTTTGAGAACATTTCCACATGACTTACCTCATGCACTACAAATTGAATGTCACTGTCTTACATGTTTCACAATGCATCTTGCATTGTACAGTTTTACTCTAGCAATGCACTTAGCACCTGGAGATGCACTATGAGACTTCACTCTGAGAGTTCTTAACACTCAAGATATTTGCAAGCAATTCCCAAAGAGGAACTGTGTACTTGCTAGAACAGATGAAGGTGAAGGGCCAAGAAAAGAAACAAAAGGAACCTTCTGGAGTTTAGAGGTGGAAAGCCATAGTTAGTGAATGAGAAGAGCTCTGTGTATTAATTGCAAACACGTACTGTATAAAAACATGTGCCATATACTTGTAGACTGGATTCAAAATAATAAGTCAAATGTAATATGTTATTCAAACAAGACATCTCCTACCCCCTGCACCCAATGCAAGTGATAGATAATCCAGAGCCCTACTATGTGAATTCCTTTAGTGACTTATGTGCTGGACAAAGGTTTCTGGAGACAGGTGGGAGGCCATTGTACTAATCTACAATGTTAGTATTTAACATCCGTGAGTCACTAAGGTGACATGTGTTGTTCTTATCATGAATACACTGTTAATATTTCAACTTGTAGGAATCAAGCATGTTGAATTTATGCACATCCTAAGCTTTACTCAAAGGGCCTTTTGTTAGACAATAATTAAAGTTTGCTTCAAACAACAATTCCCGACATTGGCAAATTTAGGTGTGGATGTAGCAGGTGCATACATCAATAAAGTAGCCCATTCTCGATGAGAAAAACACCGTACTTACCTTAATCAGTGGTGGGAAGTGAAATAAGTTTAGGTAATCGTGGGTTAATTTCTCAATGGCTGACTGTAAAAGCAAAAACAAAAACAAAAAAACATGACTTTATTAATGATCCGACAGTGCCAAGAGAGGATTTAAATTATTGTGCACATATAAAGGCATTCTTTATGTAGCCCATAAAATATCTTGGGGATGTTAATATCCAACATCTATTGAGAATAAAGCTGTTCAGAGTATTCTAGGTAGTTCCTAATTATTTAATGGAACAGGCAGATATTTTAAAGATGTTAAGTCTGAGAGTACACAGTAAATAAAACCATTCTTCAAACACTGGTAGAGTATACTGGCGACAAGTTAATGTTGTAGTGTGCAGAATGCAGTTGTCACCCTGAGTAACTGTGGGAAAAACAACAAAGAACATGAATATATCACCAGAGACTTTCATTAAGGCTGAAATCTCACTAAAGGGTTTATTGCATGGTAAGGGCTTTACTATGGGTATGTGTCCAATGCTCCCCCTGCCCCCACTGAAGCACAAAGAACTCTTGAAGGAAAGGGCAACCATTTAAATTATTTTTTTATACTCCTCAGGTATAATCCAGCTTTTCTGTGAACAGAACGTATCACGTAGAGAGTAAGAAAGTGCCAATGTGAGAAAAATTAGATGCATTTTTCAAAGTGAAATGAAAGCTGTTGACACTTGACAATGTAATGAACACTTACGGATGTTCAGCCCCATTCCCTCCGCACGGCCCCTCCACGTGAAGGCTTCCAGGCACAGGGAAGAAGGATGCTGAGACAGGTTTAAAGGGACAACGAAGTGGCAGAGGGGTAGGTAGAAAGACTGTTTAGTTTCATGACCTACCATTTAAGGGTTGAGAGTCTCTTTGAGAAAGTACACAGCGATGATTGTGCTTTCCTTGGTGACAGCAGAGAATGGAGGGCACATTCTCATTGTCTGTGTGAGTGTGAGTGTGTGTGTGTGTGTGTGTGACAAGCCTGACAAGTACCAGGAAGGCTCCTTTAGTCTGGAGGTCTTCACCTGGTGTCCTATCCCCAGAGGCCCAGCTCAAAGCATTATTTGTCCTCATATCCCCACAAATGTTTGCAGGACCTCCCAGAACAAGCCTCCATCATCCTTTTCTCTTAATCCTTCTCTGTCATACAAGCTTTTTCGTCAGAAATACCCACAACCCGGCTGAGTTAAGAGTGTCACGTGTTGGCTGAGTCTCCCGTGAGTGGCCAGTAACCTACCTGTGGCTTTGGCAGTTAGGTGGACCGCCTGACTCTTGAGACTCACCTCTCTGGGAACTGTCTTTATGCACATATGCATTCTCATCCATGAGTTTCAGGGGAGTCTTGGGTCCCCCCCGATACTGGTCTGCTCTCTGTTTTGGAGCTCAGGGCAGATACTCTGCTTCATGAGCAGAGGACATTGCACTGACCCTACCCCAACCAGCTGCCTCCAGTGAGGGCTTTCCCTTCATGCAGGTGTTTCATGGCTTCTGTGCAGCATTAGACTCTGTTTTTATAAAGCTTTTTAACCTTTGGCTTCTGTAACACCATTCTCTCCTCCTTTTCCTACTTCCTGGGTGGGCATTCCTCTTTTCCTCCTGCCTAGGCTCCTAGGATGTCTCCTTGCCACATGCATCCTTCTTGAAGGCCCATCGTCTGTCAAATAGAGAAAGCTTCCCCACTGGAAGACTGTTTGTGGTCAGGCGTGTACATGCCACTGTGCTTTCCTTCTTTTTATTTATTTATTGAGGTGAAATTCACTGTCATGAAATTAACCATTTTAAAGTGCTGAATCAGCAGCATTTAGTACCTTCGGAGCATTGTGCAGCTAGTACCTCTGTCTGGTTCCAAAACATTTGGGGACCCTGTGCCTAGTAGCAGTCACTCCTGACATTCCCAGCCCCTGACAACCACGAATCCATTTTCTGTAAGGTGGATTTACCTATCTTCTGGATATTTCATGTAAATGGAATCATACACTAGGTGACCCTTTGGGTCTGGCTTCTTCTGCAGGATGGTTTTGTGGTTATGCTACGTCACAGCGTGTGTTCACTAGTTTTCCTTCTTGAACCAGCAAATAGATCTGTTACCTGTGGAATCCTTCCCGTCTCTATTCACGTTTTCGTGACACTTAGCTAGGCCTTCTTACTTTGTATCATAACCTCTGAACTGGTCTTTCCCAACCTAGCCTCTCCTTTCTAATCTACTTCACAACTTCCAGAAGCAAAGTTTTCAACATGTCAGTTCTCAAAACTTCCAATACTCCCTGCAGCTGGTCGGACTCCAGACCCCTGGCCTGAAGCCATGAACTGGCCTGAAGCCACTGCACAGAAGCCATGAAACACCTGCATGAAGGAAAACACCTGCATGAACTGTCCAGGGTCTGGCCTCACCTCCCTTCCACCCTCTGCGGCACGAGGCTTCCACCAGACACAGCCACCTATTGTTCCTTGTAGTGAACCAGTTTTTTCTGTTCTCTCCTGTTTCCTTCTCTCTGAACTCCTTATTCTGTCTAAATTCATGTTCTTGCCTTTCCTGCGCCTGTGTGCATTCCAAATTCTGTCCTTCTTCAAGATCCAGCTTGGGGACCCTCCCCACTCCATGAAGGTTTCCCTCTGGCCG